GAAAATGCAGCTTCAGAAATTGTCACATTGTCTAAATTAAAATCATGAGATAAAATAAGATCAAGAGTATGTCCATGCTCATGAGTAGGGCCATTTACATGCTGAGTAAAATCAAATGAATCCAGCAAGTGGTTCAACTCACTGACCGTAGGCTAATAGGGGCAACATATATGAATGTTAAAGCCCCCAGAACCAATATCTGGTCTGACATCACAGTTACTACAGATAAAAGGTCAGAAAATTCCTTGATAAAGTCCTTATTTGCTTTAGGTGGCCTGTAGATAGGAACGCAGAGCAGGGGGTCCATGGATTCCACTTTAAAAATAAGTGATTCAAAACTAGAAGAACTGTTGAGACAGATTTACAAGACGCCCACGGTGCGTGCTCTGGAAGCCGCAGGTTTTGGTATTCAACGCCTCTTCTCCTGCGAGCTGGCGTTCTCTGGATCACAGTGCAGTTTAACTGTACTGATGATGGTCCGGGGTGAACGGGCACCAGGAGAGCGTGGTGTTGTGCACGGGAGTAGAAGCGCAACTTCATTCTCAGTCCGGCTCGTTTCCCCGCTTTCTCTGGCGCTTCCTTTTCTGCGTGATGCAACGGGACAAACGGCGAATACACGCTAAAGTTACCGGGGAAAACCGCGAATGAAAAAAGATCTCCACCGATCTTATGGGCGGGAATGTCCGTCGCAGATCGTATTTTGAGCAAAGCTTCATGATCATATTGAAGTTGAACTGATGATACTGTAGGGAGCTGCTGGACGAGGCACACAGGCACGAACACACATGAAATGGGTAGCAGTGGGGCAGGTAGGAACAGACGGCACGCCGACAAACACACTGGCGTCATCTTGTCCCAACATCCTAAAGGACTCTACAAATAAAGCCCCTGTCCACCACTATAACCCCCTGCAGGTTACTATAAGAGATTGTTTCAGTGACTTAAAAGCTTTATTAAATCAAGAAAAGGAATTAAACTATTATAAGTCATTATTGCCTAGTAAGTAATCTGCACAGATAAAGAATCGTTCAAACTATATCCCACCACTAGGTGGAGCAACCATCACATCATTTAACCGTCTCAGCTCAAGTTCACCCAGTTTACTTCTATTTCACTTCTTCACTGGTCTTGCGTTTTTACCTTTATAAATGCATTGTGTGTTCAATATATGAGTAAAATAAAAATGAAGAATATTAACTGTGTCTTGTGCAAAGAACAAACCAGTAACATGTTTCATGTAGTATATTTGTTCAAGGTGAGCATGGACATACTCTTGATCTTATTTTATCTCATGATTTTAATTTAGACAATGTGACAATTTCTGAAGCTGCATTTTCTGACCACGTGCCTGTTATGTTCAGTTCTCTGACAGCTTCACATCCTATGGCTATTAGAACTTCAGAACGACCTTCTAGAAAGTTAGGCCCACTACAGCTACTCAGTTTGCACTTGCTTATACAAATTATTTTTCATCTAGTGATCTTCACTTGAGTATTGAAGACCTAACTGCTTCTTTTCAATCCCACTGTAGAACTGTGCTGGATTCAGTTGCCCCTCTGAGAGTTAGACATCCTAGGTTTAAATCTCAACCTTAGCTGAATGATTCTATTAGGACAGCTAGGAAAGAGTATAGAATGGCTGAGTGCAAATGGAAGAAGGATAGGCTGCAAGTATCATTTGAGATTCTCAAATCATGTTTGATTAGATTTCAAGAAATGGTCAGATCTGCAAAAGCAGAATACTTGTCAGAAATGATGTCAAAAAAAACCAGCATAAGCCAAAATATCTGTTTAATACAATAAATTCAGTACTAAATCCTCTTCCATGCTACGGCCCAGAAGCGTCTCTAAATAACTGTAAAGCTTTTCTGGATTTCTTTGTGGCCAAGGTTGAAAAGGCTAGGTCTAATATCTCAATTTCTGTGATTAAGCCCTCTGCCTTTCAGTCAGGTATTAAGACATTTGAGAAATTTGAACTGGTTTCCTTTGCACAGTTATCTGACATTGTTTCTCACATGAAGTGCTCTACATCTGCTATGGATATTCTTCCATCTTGGTTTTTTAAGGACGTTTTTGACACAGTTGGACCTGATGTTTTATCAATTATAAATTCGAGTTTAGCATCTGGTGCAGTTCCTGCATGTTTTAAGCATGCAGTTCTTCAGCTCCCTCCTAAAAAGCATAATCTGAATGTAGGGGTTCTGAGTAACTACCAGCCTATATCAAAACTTTTTGGCTAAAGTTCTTGAAAAAGTTGATTTTACTCAACTTAAATCTTTTTTAGACAACAAAATTTATGAGACTTTTCAATCAGGTTTTAGGGTATTTCACAGTACTCAGTCTGCTCTTTTAAAAGTGACTAACAATCTTTTACTTAATCTTTTACTTAATTCATATAAATGCATTGTGTGTTTAATATATGAGTAAAATAAAAATGAAGAATATTAACTGTGTCTTGTGCAAAGAACAAACCAGTAACATGTTTCATGTAGTATCTTTGTTCAAGGTGTTAAAGGCATTTAATCCTACTTGGCCTAAATGTGGACAAAAGACAAAAGCATACAGATCATTCACTGTAATCAGTTCTCACTGATCTATGCAAAAGGTCCTTTTACTATGTATATACAAATAATTAAGCACCTCATAATCACCTAGTAATCATTGCATTGTAGTACTGCTGTAAATACCTACTTAGTGCTACAACGTAATCGCAAAGTATGTACGAGAAATTACATACAATTAGAACATATTTACCCATTCAGTATTAGGTACCTACTGTACTATACAATAAAGTGCTACAGTTTGCTTCTCGTTCTGCTGTTGGATGTTTGAGATGTTCTCTTTTGCAGTGGTGTTAGACCTAAAAAAGGCATCTGTATTTTAAGAGTGCAAATGTGTGTTATGCAGATTAGAGGTTTAGTCTGTTCAGCTCATAAGCAAAACATAGATCATGACATACTTGTGAAAGAAGAGCAGATATTATCAGTTCTATCAGTGATAGAGAATGTGACCTTGTTTCTTTGGTTCCCATGTATCTACAAGAATAGAATAACACTGTCTCAGAATGTTTATACCCTCAAGAGCTGGTGGAGAATTTGTTTAGTTTGTCATTAAAGTGACAGTAGATGTAAGCATCAATGTTTACTGAGGTCTGGACATCAGACGGTTTACAGCGGTTTCTTTTAAAGGCTATTTTGATGCTATTTAGTTTTAGCTACTTTGCTGCTTTATACAAGATAAAATTCAATGGTCTGCAGAATGAAAAGGAAATTCAAAGATATGTTAATCTAAAATATCTGTTTAATCTGAATATTAAAACACTTATGGATCTTGCATTCCTAATATTTGATGATGTTTTTCCACAGTTTAGGAGCCATAAAAGAAAAGATTCTTTATTATCATTATAGAGACACACAGCCAGATTTCAGAGCTCCTGCTAATCATCTTTTTATGTTGATTGTAGCTGCACATCCTACATGGGCTTATGCAAAAGCCCACCCGAGGATGGAATCCTAACAACACTGATTCTTGATTTGTAGCCTCAAAATATTAATTTCAGTCTTTAGGTGGCCTGACTGGGTACATTTCTTTATCAGTGCATTTCACACCGAACTACGAATGATAATCACATCATTTCACCTTCTCAGCCCAAGTTAACCAGTTTACTTCTTCATTACTTCTTTACTGGTCTTGTGTTTTTTACCTTTCTAAACGCATTGTGCGTTATAAAATGGAGGTAAAATGATTAACTGCATCCTGTGCAAAGAACAAACCAGTACCAAATTTTTATGTAATATCTTTTTTGATGGTGTTAAAGCCGTAAAAGATGTTTGAAATGTTCTCTTTTGTAATGGTGTTAGAACTAAAAAAGGCATCTATATTTCAAGACTGCAAATGTAGCTTATGCAGATTAGAGGTTTAGTCTGTTCAGATCATGAGCAAAACATAGAACATGACGTACTTGTGAAAGAAGAGCAGATGTTATCAGTTTTATCAGTGATAGAGCATGTGGTCTTGTTTCTTTGTTTCCCATATATCTACAAGAATAGAAGAACAGTGTCTCAGAATGTTTACACCCTCAAGAACAGACAGGAGCGTTTGGCTGGACAGCAAGCTGGTATGAAACTTAAACATACAGAATAGCCAGCTAATGACCCCCATTTTAACATTCATCTTTTTTAAACTCCATACTAAACCACAACTTTTACAAACAGACCCTGATCAAAGCTGAATTCTTTCTCTGAATGAAGAGAAGAACAGAATATCAGAGCTGTTGTGATTACAAAAAATGTTTATTTATGTAAATTTCAAGCATCACTCAAAAATTAATGAAAAGAAATCTTTTTTACATTATAAAATATCGATCAAGTTAGTTATAAAACCAAACTAAACGAATAACTTGTAAGAGTCAAGAATTATTATGAAACTAAAATTGGATAAAAAGTAAAAAAATAAAATAGAAAAGTAAACAAATGGGTTACAATACAGTAAGAATAGCAATATTAAAACTTAGTACCACTGCATTTTGTAATTTTTTTAGTTAATGAATATTTTAAGCATTTGTTAAGCACAAGGATAAGATGGTAATGGTTAGGCATAAGGATAATAATAATAATAATAATAACAGTAATAATTAAAAACATCAAATTAATCAAATAAACCAAAATATGACAGATTTTTAAAAATCCAGACTATAGAAAAATAGAAATATTAAAGAAAAAAAGTTTGGCAATGTTAAAAGCTTTCACACAGAATGTATACAACCATGTTAGGTGGCAGTTCATGAAATATAAATCATAGAAGGTTTTCACTATAATAATGTTTATCAGGGTTAAGAAATTAGACCTCATATTGTTGTAGAAATAAAAAAAAAAACATAAAAGAAACTCATCACTCACTCAAACAGCCAAAGACCATCTAACACACTAAGGCATGTTAGTTTTATTGACTGTTAAGCAGTGGATTCAGGATATTTGAATATTCTTTAAGTCTGAAGTCAAATTAACTGAGTTACAGTCAACAAACGAGTAACTAAGACTGTTTTCCTTTTAACACAAAATTTACAGAAACGTCTGAAAGAAAGTAGAACTTTAAAATGTTAAAATGAAGGTTTGAAGTTCACATCCTGCATCTTCTGTCTGCACCTTTAAATCTCCAATCAGGCGTCACTGTAAATGGCTAGTTTTGAATAGTGCAGTAACACCAGTATTACACTCTCTAATACACACATTTACCATTCTCACTACGAGAGAACTCAGAGGACACATCTGGGCAGACAAGATACTTTTCAGGAACTTCTTTTTGAGGATTTAAGGCACACAGGCTTTCATCATGGACCTATAAGAGAAGAATCTTTTATTGATTTTTGGGTTTTCACATTATATAAAGTGAAGATTTAAAATAAGGTAAACACAAATGAGAAAGTGAACAGCTTGAATCATTGAGCAGAATTGAATCCATTTCAGAAACATCACTGATTCACAGCTATTTTCACTTCATTAGTGACATTAGTGTTTAGTATGGAAGAGTGAAAAAATCATAGTACAACATTTTCCACTATCAGGAAAAAAGATACGACAATATACACTCACCAAGCACTTCATTAGGTACAATTACCTTGTATCCACACATTCATTGCCCATTTTATCAACTCTACATACCATACAGGTGCACTTTGTAGTTCTACAATTACAGTCTGTTTTGTTACTGATAATAAAAATAATATCATAATATTAAAGTTATATCACATAATATTCACCCACATTAAAGCACACATCTGCTAATTTATAGTGTTGAGTCAGTATTGCTCCATCTGTTATACATGAATGCTGAAACTGTTACTGAGTTCTGTTAGCCAGCAAGTTATCAGTGTTTAAGGGCTGTACAGTCAGCAACAACAAAAAAAATGGACAGTGAATCATGTTTCTCATTCTAAACCTGAAGCACAAACAAGACAAAGCAATTATTCACAAAGAAAACATGTCTTATCACAAATAGCACACATCTCCTAACCCACAGTGCTGTTCAAATCACGTATAAATCTGTTTTATAGGCCCCTAATATATAGTTGTATGCAAACGTTTGGACACCTTGGTTAAATTACATGTTTTGTTGATTGTCTAAGTGAAAGTAAGTTACACATCCTCCACAGAGAACACACCTTTGCACACTTTAATACACTATTACTGTTTATTTGCTGAGATTATCATACTGGAAAAATAAAACATGAAATGTGGCATTTGCAAAAGTTATGGTAGCATTTCTATGTTTCATTGTTTTCCAATATGATGAACTTAGCAAATAAACAGAAATTGTACTCTAGAAGTGTCATATTTAAGTTGTTTACTGTAGAGAATGTCTGTTATTATTTTCACTTAGAAAATCAACAAAACCTAATTTTATCGATGTGATCAAACTTCTATATATGACTGTACATTGTGGACAGTCCTTGTTTTGTTGCTGCTCTAGTCCTGTGTTTTCCTTCAGGATCAATAATGTTTCTACCCACCTGTCAAACTATCCTTAAACCATATTTGGAGCAAGAGATTAATAACAATATGTGTTAGTTTAAAAAAAAAGAAATTATTCAATCATTATTTAGCACTAATGTTGATGATCTTGAAGCTGAGCGAAAAATATACCCAAAGTGTTAGTTAACAGCTGTTAAAACATTTTTTTGTTATAGAACTGAACAGTAGCCACGTTTACATGCAGCCTGATAATCCGTTAATAATCCGACTAATAGCTCAATCGGAATAGAATACGTCCATGTAAACACCTCAATCGGAATAGTCTAGTCCGATTGAGGCCATTCGGAATACAATTTCTATCCGATTAAACGAGGTGGGTAAACTTCTAAATAATCCGTTAAATAGAAGAATAATAGCCATGTAAACGCCTGAATCCGATTACATTCCAATCGGAACGTGTAAGTATGTTCTGCGCATGTGCGTCGCGTCACAGCGAAAGTTTACACCGCTCAACATGGCGGAGCAGAAACTGGTCTGGACCTCAAGTGATGTTCGCTGTTATGGTAACGTTTACTCTAAGCGCTACTCCACGCATGCGCGTCATTTTGCATCGGATTACTTGTAGTGAGCATGTAAACGAAGATTTTCCATCAGATTGTTGAATAGAGTGCATATAAACACCTCAGTCTGAATCTGTAATCGGATTGTATTCAATCGGATTGGCAAAAATCGTTGCATGTAAACATAGCCAGTGACAGAGAAAATATCTCAAATGTAAATTCAGTGTACATAACTTTTGACCGAGACCGCACGTTTTTATTTTCTCATACCCGCACCATCACTTGTCACTTATGACACTGAACTGTGATGATGTTTGAGCTCATCTTACCTTTGTTATTCAGTGCTTCAGTTCTGAGTAGACAGTATCAGCTCCATCACTGCTCTTCCCTACAGAGAGCAATGACACTGAATTAACATCAACCAAGAACAAGCTGAAAGCATTTAATCTGTTAAGATTTATAGCACAATTCAGATTTTACTGTGTTTAGATTAGTGCTGTCAAAGTTAGCATGTAGGCTAATCATGATAAGCATTGAAAACTGTGGTCACTCTGTGGAATTCATGTGATTTTCATGTTCAGGTTGATGTGAATGCAGGGAGAAAATAATGAAAATAATGTGAAAGAAATTAATACTTTCTGATCAAGTGTATTTATAGCTACAATAAAATATATGTAACATTTGAGCTGAATCAAATATGATTAATCACAATTACTTTAATCGCTGTCAGCACTAATTTAGATATTTTCTTTTGATCTTACCCTCAAGCAGCTTGTTCTGAGTTTTCTTCGGCTTCTTTGGCTTCTTCTTCTCTTTCAGATCAATTTGAGCATAAGTCAAATCACCAGGTTCAGGTCCAGAACCTAAGAGAAAACAAAATAAACTTTTTTTCTCTCCAGTCCCATTCAGCTTTCACAATCCTTAAACTTCTCAAAATATATAGTCTTTAATCTGGCCTTCTGTTTCTATACTGTGTTAAACATGCTCTCGTTCTGGTATTTGCCACGTCTACTTGGGGAAATTTCTGTAGGGGCGTTCCGTCACTCTATTAGCTCAAGTGAGGTTTTTTAGATGAAGAGGTGAGGGATTGAGTCAAAGCTGTTTTGACACTGGAGAAATAAAATACTAAATATTTTAAAACTACGCTCTTTAATTTGCTACATGCAAACTGACTTTAATTTAGCAAACTGTTCTATTTGTTTCACATGACTTCTGATATAACTGTACTGTATTCTGCCTCTTGCTGCAATAACCAAACAAAAGTTATTTTTTTGTTTGTTTTTTTTTAATCTGAAACTTAAGCCAAACAGAGCAGTTGTTCAGAAAGTTTGTGTACATTACGCTTAATCTTCTCAAAAAACAGTTCGCATTACAAAGTTTGTTTAGCTTATCAGCTGACACTAGCCTGTCTAGCTAAGGGTCAAGCTCCTTCCTTCTGAAAAATCCTAGTTCCCCATCTCCTCCACTTTTCCTGTAAGTGGCCACTTGTGTAATAATGGTGCTAAACACTAGTTGTGAAGTGAAGTTGGTGAGAGCATGTTGAAGTAAGTATTGAAACCAAAGGACAGACTGTAGTACTTAAACAATAACATCCTGCAGTACTTAACTAACCAGTCTAGTGTAAGGACAGAGGTGGGCGATATAGAGAAAATATAACATCACAATACTTGAAGAAATTTTCATGATACACGATATGTAACATTTTTCATTTTTCCTGACACTTTAAAAGGCAAAAAAAGAGCCAGTAGTGCCACATATAAAAATGTTGTTAAATAATCAATTGTATACTTTAATATTTCACATACTTTGTAGCACCAATCCTATTAAACAGGACTGATTATGCTCTCTTTGTAATGAAACATGAAGATGGTCAGTGTTCTAGAAGTACTGACGATATCCATGATATGTTCAGGAAAGTATATTGTGATTTTTACCTAATTTATAACACAAACAGTAAATGTTGACATATTCTCAGCTCTACTTAACCATTCATTCATAGACTAGTCACCAGCGAGTCACTAACTACAGTCCTTAAAGTGATACTGTGGCAAATAAAATGTATGCAATGACCACAAATGTAGTTTATCAGCCAGGGCTTGTTTGATGTAATGTGTGGTAGGTACTTCTTACCTTTGCTGTCCTGTTTCAGGCTTTTCATCGCAATCTGGGAATATGTCACCTCATCTGATGTTGTCGCTGCATCATTTAATACAGAAACCAGTTTAGACACTGAAGCCAATTTAAGTGGAAAACAGATTTTGTTAACACAGAAATGCAGTTCTTACCTTTTCCTCTGAATTTCTTTTTCTTTATTATAACTTGTGCATAAGTTACATCACTGGAGTCAGCAGCAGAATCATCTAGAACAGTCAGAGTCACTCTTTAGAGACGCTGCTGTGTTTTACATGGTCAAAGTTCACTTTTAAGCATAGAAAATAAAATTAATTGTATCCATGTTCATCATATCAGCACTGTTATAAATATGACCACTGCCTATTAAAGGTATAGTTCACTAGAATAAAATCAAAATCAAATTTTCCCCTTGTCCCATTCATAGTTGATCAAGTTTGATGTCAAGAACAAGTTTGCTTCTTTATTTTTAAAGTTGAGCTACAGAGCTAGTTTAGAAGAATTACCACCCAAAAGATTGTGGGTAACATAGACTTCCATTAGTTTTTAGCTACATAGGCCTAAAAGCTCCGGTGCAAAACTCAAGAAGCCAATCCTTTTAGTGAAAAGATGTAAGCACAAAAAAAAAGACTTTCTGATCAAACTTATTTATAACTATAACAAAATGGGGAAAATTTGAGCAATCAAGACAATTATGACCAATTACAATTATTTTATCCAGCACTAATTTAGATATTTTCTTTTAATCTTACCTTCAAGCAGCTTGTCCCGAATTTTCTTCGGCTTCTTCTTCTCTTTCAGATCAATTTGAACGTAAGTCATATCACCAGGTTCAGGTCCAGAATCTAAGAGAAAACAAAATCTGCTTTCTTTCTCCAGTCTCACTCTGCTTTCACAGTCCTTAAACTAACTCCTCAAAATATAGTCTTTAATCTGGCCTCCTGTTTCTATACTGTGTTAAACATGCTCTTGTCCTGGTTTTCGCCATGTCTGCTTGGGGGAATTCCTGTAAGGGTGTTCCATCACTGTATTAGCTCAAGTGAGGTTTTTTAGATGAATGCTTGGGGGGATGAGGGACTGAGTCAAAGCTGTTTTTATGCTGGAGCAATAAAATACTAAATATTTTAAAACTACACTGTTTAATTTGCTACATGCAAAAAAAAACAAACAAACCTAAATACTGGTAGGTTTAACTGCGACCCAGAAGGATAAGCGGTTTAGATGATGGAGGATGGATGGATGGTAGGTTTATGTAATAAAAACTGTAAAACTGACCGGTCTGCATCAGTGTGGATCCTGGATTCTGACTCTGGTCTGGTGTCTGATTGGTGTTCTGCTGATTTCCTGTAGAAGACAGAGATTCTACATCTTCAGCTTTAGTGGTTCAGTGATAAAAGTTAAAAATGTGCATGCTTTTCACTTTAGGGCAGTTTTTGAAACATAAACATCATCAAAGAGACCCAAGTTACATTACTTTCTTCTTAATGCCATCAACAGCTACTGTAATGCACAGAAATGATTTGTTTCTTGAGAGCTTGCATAAACATCCAAAATAGTTTTCAAACCTTTTTTCTTCTTGTAGCACCAAAACAGGCCCAGTACAACAATGATGATGAGCCCCACAGACAGTCCAACTATTACACCACTTCCAGAACCTAAGACAGAAAGGGACCTTTAGTTTGTATTTAAATGCTTTGTCCACAAATTTTAGCGTACCGCTTCTATTTATTTGCTGAGTTTAAATAGAAGTGGTAAATAAAATTAAAAAACAAACAACAAATATAAAATTTGCCAAATTTTTATGCTTTAAAATGTGCAGAAGTTTGTTCTCTGTAGAGGAAGTTAACTTACTGTTTTAACTTATGTTTGCATTCAACTGTACAACTCACTTTTTACTGATTTGTGTATACATTAGGCACCTGAATTATAAATTATATTTAAATGCTGTTTAATTGGGCAGTAAGCATTTATTTACTCAGAAAAGCACTCACATTATAATAAATACAAATAATATTTATACAATAAGTGGTGATTAAATGTCTGTCAACGTGTTCAATTAACCATTTCCAAACTTTTCCAAACAAATCTATGTGATGGCTGGAGGCATCTAAAGCAAAAACTGTTCTTCTTACTAGCTCATAATGTACCAAGTACTATTTAAAAAAAGAAATTCTTGTTAGTTTTAATGCATTAATGTTTTATTTGTGTTTATTCTTATGTTACATGCAGATTTACAAGCAAAAACACAGATATTACCCAAATTAATTATTTTATCCAGCTTGCTCAGGTGCCTAAAACAGTGACAGTACTATATAAACCTTACAACACGATGGTAACAGAGTTACAAAGATGTGCCAAATAAAAAAGATATGATTTCTGTTTCTGGGCTTTTTTTTTTCCAATTTCAGCTAACATGCTTAATTTTGAATACTAATTTCTGACAAACAGTCTGTCTGCACCTAATTGCCTTTTGACACCTGACGTCAGTTCTTAGGCTTTAATAGACACATACATTTAAATGACCCATATCTTGAAAAACTGAATGTATCTTACTTTTGGGAAATAAAAGAATCTAATGTAGTATGTAAACACTGTAAACACAGTAAAATGTATGGTTCACTCCCCAGTCTATACAGTCAATGAGTGAAAACTAATCTGCAAAAACAGACAATTTTAGATTTTTTTTTGTGATGTCATGAAAACCAGCATTTTTACATTTACTCAGCCAACAGCAGTTTAGCCCCGCCCATTCGCACTGAAGTTATAAGAAGTGTTTCTGTCTGGGCCACTTTTAGAATGAGATACAAAACCAGGCAGACAATTAGTCTTTAACAAACAGTAATAAAACAGCCAGTTTGATTCTAAAGGATACAGAGATGTTGGAAAATAGTCATGTAAAATTTCATTACTGCTGTTTTTAAAACATCACACCACACAAACATTGTAAGTGGACCTCAGGAAATAAAAATAAGATATAATACAGGATATGGACCCTTTACTCACTATAACCCTTTCAAATTTTGCTATTTGAAATCAGCTCCTCATGCAGGTCCTGTTTTGATCATATTGATATTAGAAAATCCTGTTAGTTTCTGAAGTTCTAATCCTAGAAAGCCTCTTTCAGCTTTTAAACAGCTTGTTGCATTTTTCTGAATGTATGTTTAATTTAATTGTTATGATTTAAACAGAGTGGTTTGATGTGAACGGAGCTGTTCTGGAGAAATTTGCCGATTCACAATTGTTCACAGTGGTGGTGATGGGAACCAGATGTGGATAGAAAAGTGTTTAATGCCTTTAAAAGCTCCCACAGAAACTTATTTCTTGAAATGGTTATGAAGACATTCCCTGATGCCTGAGACATTATTTAACTGTGGTTTTGAGATAAGATTTTGGCTGAAAATGCATTTTTTGAAGTCCAATGTACAGATTCAATCAAAATTATTCACCCCCCACTGCAAATTAGATTTATTAGCAAAATTCTCAAACTTTCAGCTGTTGGCAATAAACCAGTCAAACAAGAACAAATTAACTAGCACAACACAACTAAAATAATGAGTGGTTTCACCAAATTCAACACAAAATGCCTCTTTTAATGGTTACTGCAGTCTCAGAATTATTCAACCCCCTGAATAGAATCCCTAATAAGAGCACACATTTCCAAATCAGATGTTCTCTCAAGCACATCTTCTGCACTAATCAAAGGCTTCATTAGTTTCATCAGGTGTGCTTAAGATAAACATGTCAAATACCTGGACTGGCTAGAGCTTTGTTGACTGTGAAGTTTGACTGCATGTTAGAAATATGGAGAATTGAGAGTTGTCCAAAAAGTTAAGAGAAGAGATCACTGTCTTGCACAAACAAGGAAAAAAATACAAAAAGACAGCAAAGGCACTGAATGTTTCCAAGAGATCCAGTTGGAAGCACAGTTTGCAAGTTCAAAGTTAAAGGAACGCTGACTACACTACCTGGACGTGGTCAAATAGAAGAAGTTATCACCTGCTGCCACCAGATTTCTGAGGAGGCAGGTGGTCAGAAACCCTCGAGTGACTGCAAAAGACCTGCAGCAAGAATTGTTGGCAGCAGACACTGAGATTTCAGTTTGCACAGTAAGGTGTATACTACATACTGAAAGTCTCAATGCCCAAACTCCAAGTCGCACACCACTACTGCTCCAAAAGCACAAGAAAAGTAGGCTCCAATATGCTGAAAACGCCATAAATAAGCTACAGAGGTTTTGGGATTGTGTTCTGTGGAGTGATGAAACAAAACTGGAATTTTTCTGGCCTATGGATCAGCGGTATATCTGGAGGAGGAAGAATGAAGCACACGCTGAAAAGAACACCCTGCCTACAGTGAAGCACAGCAGTGGTTCAGTGATGCTCTGGGACTGCTTTGCTTCCTCTGGCACTTGAAACCTGCAGCACGTGGAGCACAAGATGGATTTAATAAAGTATCAGGACATTAGAAAACATCATGCCTTCTGTCAGGAAGCTAAAGCTTGGGTATAATTGGATCTTCCAGCAGGACAGTGATCCAAAGCATACCTTAAATCTACCAAGGCTTGGTTTCAGAAGACATCCTGGAAGATTCTGGAGTGGTCGTCACAGTTGCCTTATTTGAACCCCATAGAAAATCTTTGGTGGGATTTAAAGAGGGCAGCTGCAGCACGGAAACCCAAGAATATTAGTGAACTGGAAGCCATTGACCATGAGAAATGGGCTAAGATTTCTGCCAGAAGCTGGTGACTGGCTATACACCATGTGTGCAGTAGGTCATAACAGCAAAAGGGTGCTCTACTAAGTACAAAAGATGCTTGTCATGAAGGTGTTGAATAATTCTGAGACTGCAGTAATCATAAACAGTGGCACTTTGTGTTAAATTTGAAGAAACCACTCATTAAATTAAATGGTTTGTTTAACTGGTTTATTACAAACAGCTGAAAGTTTGTAAATTTTGCTAATAAGCCTAGTTTGCAATTGGGGTTGAATAATTTTGATTGCAACTTTACATGCAGGATGTTATAATGCAACATAATACAAAAACTATTTTTCATATTTACCACTACTTTATCACTGTCAACATTACATAAAACCATGTGTAACTTCACTGTGGTTTTGGATAGTAAATTAAATTGTTGACATTGTGACCGCTGGTTCCCATCATCACCACTGTAAAGAAATAATACGTGAGAAAGTTTCTCTAAAACGCACCATCCCACATCAAAACACTCTGACTATGTTCACATCTGAATGCCTGAATTGAACAAGAATGTGAATTTTGAAAAAACAGTAGACCTCTCCTTTTAGGCAGCTAGTCAGACAAACCAAAACTAGCCTTGTGCTACTTTATTCTGTCCTGTTCACACAGCAGGCTTGATCTGAAGTTCCCACACAGCCTTAATAAAACTTTAAAATGTTGTATTTGCACTGTGCAAATGGAGAGGAACCAATTAAAATGGTATTAAAATCACGAAGATATTTATACTGCAGCGTGCTGTGTTTCCAAAGACCTCACACAAGCTGAAGATCGAGTCCAGACTCAGTTTTAGATACTGAAAACCTCAGAACGGCGAATAAAAGAAAAGAGGAGAATATCGCGCTAGTTTAGCGCTCGGCTAAGCGCAGTTAGCGCCCCCTCGCGGTCTCGGCCATAGATATACATGCCTAGATGCCGCGTTGTCTGTTGTTTTTTATCTGAGGCGATACGTCTGCGCGTCCGCCATGTTGAAGCGCTCAAGATCCGCTGGTGAACAAATTCACTTGTACTGAGAAATGATGAGTCTCAGGATTAAATCGGCCACAACAGCCGTCCAGACCAGCAGGAAAGTATTCAGTCTGCACCTGAGCTTACAAACAGAGTTGAGCGCGAGCTCCGGTTGAAACATTATCACACACACATCAGCAAATCCATCAATGTGTTAATCACTTCTAATTTTAACACACACCAAAAAAAAATTAAATAAATAAATAAAAAATACAGCTAAGAAGGATGAAGCTAAAATTTGCTCCCTATTCGCCAGAGTTTTCTCGTTCCACCTTAAATGGTGCAGCAGTCACTTTCTGGTGCCTGAAGCTGCACCATTTAAGGTGGAATGAAAAAATTCAAACAAAGATGCTGGCTGATGCAGAATTTAAGGTGCAATAGAAAAATTTGAACAAGATGCTGGCTGATGCACAGTTTAAGGTGGAAGAGGAAAATTTGAACAAGATGCTGGCTGATGCACAGTTTAAGGTGGAAGAGGAAAATTCAAACAAGATGCTGGTGATGCATCGTTTAAGGTGGAAATTCAAACAAGAAGCTGGCAAATAAGCTGACTTCAGCTTTGTGTAAGGTGCTAATGTTAATCTATTGTGAATATCTACACAGATTAAGGAATACTATAACTTACCAGCTACAAAGCATTCACCATCATTATAAATAGATAATTACTACATAAAGTTAAGATCCCCCTGAATAGACTATTAAATTAAATAAGCTTCATATAAAACCAGAGGAAAAACAATCACATCAACAGGTTCTCTACCCTCACCAACCACACAGCCATATCTATACACAAACATCACACAAACATGAGCGTGGATCGCTGCGTTCCCTCCGTTATATAATCCTATCCCTCTTTCTGAGTGCGATATTCTTGAAACAGTATAATTTTTTA